TAATAATTAAATGAATCTTAAACTGATTTTAAACTCTGTTTTAAAAATTCAAAAGAGAAGAATATTAAAACTGATAATTCATCTGCTCTACTTATATAAATATTCATAGTAATGAATTGACAGATTCAGCAGTAAAAAAGAGTTCAGAATTAAGCAGATCTATTCAAAAAATTATATTCTAATCTTTTCTAAAGAGAAAGATAAAAGAATCTTATTTAGATAAGTGAAATAAAAGCTGACAGAAATACAAGAAGAGAATACATTATTCAAGATTTGAAATAAAACTTAAGTGAAAATCTTGTTTAATCAAATATAAAAAGAAAATATTCTCATCTATAATACAGCTGAAACTAGAATATAACTATTTTAAATCTTGTATATAAAGATTTGATGATAGATTTAATTTAATAGAATACTCATTCTATAATATAAATAAGAATTCTGAGTATATTGTAATACACTGTGTATTATAAAATAGTCTTAAAGTCAGATTGAAAGAGAAGTATAATCTAAATTAATTAAATATGAGATTCTTATTCTCAACTGAGACAGGAATTAAATACTTAATAGACTTTCTATCTGTAACTCAAGCAGCTATAATAAAATGACTGAATTCAGAAATATCTGAATATGAAGAGAAGAAAATCAATCAGATATAGACTGACCGTGTGACCGTGTCTGAGACCAGGACCAGAATTTTTGATAGTCTCATTGTCAATTCGACAGATCCCATTACACGGTTCTAACATTAGATAGTAGTCTCATACTGTCCCAGTGGGACTTACTGTCTACTCTTGTCACATTTTTCAAATGAGACCATGATTTCCACTTCTCAATTTAAATTATTTTTATTGCTTTAAATGGCTTTAAATCTCATTTGAGTATTACCAAAAAGCGTTACTTTTTAAAAAATTAAAAATAGTCTAAAAAAAACCTTAAAATGTCTAAAAATAGTAACTTTATGCCAAGAATGGGATTAAATGAGACCAAATGAGATCACTTTCTCATTTTTTTCAAGTCATGATTCCATTTTGAGATCTGATATATAGTCACTTTGCATGTTTATTTAATGATTAGTCCCAGCGGGATTCACGCCAAGAAATGTATGAGACCAGACCAAATGGAACCAAACGTGAAATTCATGGTCCCAGCGGCCAGTCTAATCAGATATAACCTGTTAAAACAGTTATATACTATCTTTTAATAATTTGTTTTATTACAGTCTCTCTTTACTTTATCTGTTTCTTTCAATTTCTTTCTATCTATCTATTTAATGTGTCTATCTTTAAGACTGTGTTCTCTTTTCTTTTGTCATGATATTGTCAAATGATTTCAAAGTATTAGAAGATGTTAAAATACTGTAATTTGTGAACAGTTTTTGTATTCTGAGCTGAAATTTTCTGATTTTGCATATCTGAAATTGATGAATGTATAATAGTTAACTTTACAGATATAGGAAAAACCCTGAGAACTAAAAGTTCTCAGATAGATATCATAGTCTCTGACTGTATACATCTATAATTGAAGAATAATAATAATAATAATAAAGAGAATTGTTTTCTCTCAACTATAAAAGATCTAGAATGACATTCTCATCTATAATATTAATAGTATGATGAAGCAGACTGCTTTCTTTGAAGATTTCTTCTAAGTCTATAATTACATACTTCACTTGAATTATGTTAAAATAATGATATTTTATTTCATCAGTAAATTTTATATAATCTGATGAATCTGTCTTCTTTCAATTCTGTATTAAAGAAAAGAAATAGAATATGAAGTTAATATCTATCTCACAGTTAACTAAATATTTCACTGATATCTTCTTCTTCAGAGTATTTATTATGATTATAACATGAACTCAGAGATATAAGAATTATTAATTCTTTATTTCTTTCTCTTCTTTATCTTCTACAGATACATTTGATAGAAGAAGAGTTAATTTTAAGAAGATATCTTCTAGATTTCTTTTCTTCTTTGACTTCTTATAATTATTAGTATAGTAATCACTAGCTCTGCAGTTAAAATAAAGATCTTTATCAAGTCTTTTTTAATATTTCTTTACAGTAAGTGAAGAATTAAAATACTTGAAATTTTTCTTTATATTATGTGCACTGAAGCTGTCACAGTACTATTTAGATTGTATTATTAATTACTTAGAAGAGATCTTATTAGTCTTTTTCTCAAAGTATTAATTATTCAAATAAATCTGAGAAGTTAAGTTAACAAGCTTAGTGTAATTAATTAATGAACTCTGATACTGTGATATTATTATTTACATCTTTTAAGTCAGCTTTATAAGATAAAGCTATATCTTTAATTAATTCAAATTATCAGTTAATTTCTCTCAATATTCTTCAAATCTTGTATTGAAATCAGAAGATTTCTTTTCATTAAATTAATATAATAAGTTGAACTACTGCACTACTGTAAAGCTACAGTTATAGTAATCTATAATCTGATTCAGTAGAAAGTCTTTGAATTCTTCTCAAGTCATAATAGTATTAATATACTTAAGCTCTCTCTTCATAATAGTTTAAGTAGTTACAGAGAGATCTTTAGAAAGATTAACAGTATATATTACTTATATCTCATAAGTATTAAACTGACTCAGATTAAGGAAGAATTTTTCTTCAAGAATACAGATAAAGTTATGAAATTCAGATAATATATTTTTCTTATAATTTGAAGAATGTTCAATCTTAATCTTTCTATTCTTATAATAGATATAGAAGTATAGAGGCTGCAGCAGTGATAGAGTAGTTAAAGAAATTATACTAAAATATACAGTAAGTTCAGAAATCTCAGATTTCTGTCAGAGTAAAGATATATTCACTTTAGAGAATGTTATAAAGTTTCTTTCAGAGAGTAAGATCGGATTAATCTTAGTATAAGTGTATAAAATTATATCAGTCTGTTAATAGAGTATGACTGATTCAAACTTATAATCAGATTAAGTGATTTAAATTATAATATAATAGAACTGACATAGTAACTAATTAGTAGTAATATGTAGATAGTTATCTAAGAATCTGTTTTAGTAAACTTAACTATCTTATTCAAATAATAAGCTTGTGAGCTACAGAGTTATTGCAAGAATATCATAGATATAGTACTTAGTATATTAAGAAGATTGCATGAGAAATGCAGTAACTCTTGTATATATTATCAGTAGAAGAAAAATGAATCACTAACTTCTTTAACATGAAATCAGTATCTAGCTATTTGCCCTGATGACTGAATAGTAAATGTGGCCATCTGATAGCGCCTTGACGTGAGAAACCAAGGCATATGAGTTTGAAACCTGCAGAGAATATATTAAATTCCGAACTCAAGCACCTCAGATTTCTAATAAATACAGAGATATATAAATCACTTCAATAAATCACTCTATGTTTCTGAAATAAGAAGTTATTATCACATGTATTTAATTATCACTTCTTTGTATTTTCTATGTTTTTATTATCTTGATATGATCTCAACATCTGTAATTTCTTCTGTATAATTAACACTTGATTTGTATTTAATATTATATAAGAACTCATTATAAGCTCTGCTTGTATATAAGTATAATGAAAGAATAATAATAATAATAATAATAATAATAATAATAATAGTATCTAGCTATTTAATATAGATAATAAGTAAATATCTCTCTTCTATTCTATAAGTGAGAATAGCTGAAGTAATACCTCAGTAGTATCTTACTATTATAAAAGAAGTAATTTACTAATCTTATATAGAAGTGAGATTTTTATATTTATCAATCAGATCTTTCTACATTGCATCTGAATAATATTATAGAGTGATTGAAAACCAGTTCAAATAGTCTGTAAAAGAAATAAAATTATTTACAGAGAAGTAATAAGCTGTATAAAACTATAACAGAGTTTTAACATGACTGAGAGTGTAACATTAATTAGTAAAAACACATGTAAAGTAATCATTTATCAGATCTTAAAATGAGACTATAACTTAGAAAAAATAAGAAAGTGAGTTTATTTAATTTCATTTAATTTCATTCTTAATATAAAGTAACTATTTTTAGTCATTTTAAGATTTTCTTTAGACTATTTTTAATTTTTTAAAAAGTAATAATCTTTGATAACACTTAAGAAAGATTTAAAGTCATTTAAAGTAATTAAATGAATTTAAATTGAGAAATGAAAATTATAATCTCATTTTAAAAATATTACAACAGTAGATAGTAAGTCTTACTAAAATAGTATAAAACTACTCTCTGATCTTAATACTGTGAAATGAGATTAATTAAATTGATAATAAAACTATTAAATATTCTAGTTCTGATTTCAGATATAGTTACATAATCAGTCTAATTATTAATTATATTTAATTATAAATATATAAAATAATGAAAAGTAACTGACTCACTTATATAACTTAATTACTTATAGACTGACTATATAACTGTGTCTAAGATTAGAACTAGAATATTTAATAGTCTTATTATTAATTTAACTAATCTTATTACACAGTTTTAAGATTAAATAGCAGTTTTATACTATTTCAGTAAAACTTACTATTTACTCTTATTATATTTTTTAAATAAAACTATGATTTTTACTTCTTAATTTAAATTATTCTTATTACTTTAAATGACTTTAAATCTTAAGTATTATTAAAAAGTGTTACTTTTTAAAAAATTAAAAATAGTCTAAAAAAAACCTTAAAATGTTTAAAAATAGTAACTTTATATAAAGAATGAGACTAAATGAAATTAAATGAAATCACTTTCTTATTTTTTCTAAGTCATAGTCTCATTTTGAGATCTGATATATAGTCACTTTGTATGTTTTTTTAATGATTAGTCCCAGTGGGATTCACATCAAGAAATGTATGAGACCAGACCAAATGAGACCAAATGTGAAATTCATGGTCCCGGTGGCCAGTCTACTTGCTTGTCAATTATGTTATAGAATAAGCTTGCTGTCAGAACTTAGAATCAGTTTTAACTCAGAATATAAGTATCAGCAGTTAATTTCTCAACCAATTTAAATATCTTGTACTTGATAATAAAGTCTAACTTGTTGATTACGTTACTCTATCAATACAATCCTTTGTTAAAAATTGTAAGAAGTTATTGTTCCTATCATATTTATCATACGAAATTCCTTCAGCACAACCTGCGCGCCATTTCAGATCTGCGTTGAGAATGATGCGTGACTGACCGGCCTACATAGATAGAGGAACCAACATGAAACAACAAAGGATCGGGTTTGAAAAACGTGGTGGGAGAGGAAATGGGTGCTCCCACGAGAGCCAGTAGCGTGTAAAATTCAAAAGAGAGCGGGAAAAGGGGGAAAAAAATAATACACGGTAATAATTATCAAATATTACAAATTGTAGTCAAATACAGTGTAAGATGGTAAGAGTGTTATAGATATTCAAGAAGGTTGGCTATTAGGGAAAGAGGTTGGGAAGAGGAGCAATATCAACGTGATGAGGGTTGCCAACGTGGACTGAACACGAAAAAAGAATGAAACCCCGTTTCTTCCCTAACAATAATAACATTAATAATAGACAATAGTTGAAAATGTGGTTTGGTGCGAGCCACGGTTCACATATGTGCGAGCATGCCTGCGACATACTGCATATTAAGCAATAAGAACAGCTGGACGGAGAAATGTATAAATGCACGCATAATAATGGGACGGGGGCAACAAATGATCAGGAGAAAGATAGGCGGATATATCCTCCGTGTCTCCAATGTCTCCAAGTACCAAATACCATGAAGTGTAGCCATAGAAACTAGGGAAAAAAAAAAAAAAAAAAAGAAGTGTGGTATCATGAATCATAAAAGGTAGGGCGAATTCAGGTGTACAGTGCCAAAGAAGAATGAGTCCTAGTTGGCAAAAAAATAATACAAAGAAGGGAAGGATATTCAAAAATGGGCGAAGATGAAACTGAAGGCGCTGCGGGTAAGAAAGGGATGGTGGGGAAGGGCGGCGGGATAAAGGCCATTCATTATAAGGAAGAATTCCGGTAATGAGCCTGCAGGTCGGATTTGTGCCTTATGTAGGAGCCGAACGACGGTTCAAGTCCTTTGCGCAACCCGAACCATCCCCATGAACGCATCCTCGTCGCCAGCAAAATTTAGTATCCAATATCTGCTCAACTCATTGCCATTGTTGCTATTGCTGTTGCCGCTTGCGCCGCCATTGCCATTAGCGTCGACACGATCCAATTCGGCAGAATCGACTCGTCCACCCCTTGCGACATGCTTAGAGCCCCATCCCAAGATCCTCATGCAGGTTCTTTGCCCCTCATCTCCAGGCAGGATATTCAATAAGGTAGTCTCTACACACCCAACGATGGTGACAGCAGCGCGAATAATTATTCGATCGCCCTCAAAGACCCAGCAATCCCACACACGGCTAAGACGCTCCAGGTCCAAGCCATTTGTCAAGAGGGCTTGGAACATAGGGCCCCAAATCTGTTCGTCGGATAGGTACATATTCTCGTACAGGTGGTTGGACACGCGTGGATACTTCAGGCGCAGCGACGTCGAGGCCAGAGAGTAAGCGCGAGACATGGCGCCGGGATCTGCGGTAAGGAATGCCAGCGGTAAGGGTTTATTGAGGGCATTGGCCAGTGTCTGAAATGTAGCAGCAGGCGTTGGGAGGTTGAGCAGGAGAAGAGCAGCAATGGTCTATATGGGTTGTTAATAATACCTCAATATGAAAAATATTGCCAGATGGGCCTGTCAACTTACATGGATGCCGTACAGATAGCCAACGTCACTTCTGTACATTGAATATGCGTCAAGTACGTGCACAAGATTTTCGCGTAGCGGTCCATCTTCGCCAAATAAATGAAGGTCCGGGAATGCTGTTGATGCATCCCGGCGAATACCCGCAAACCACTCTTTCATCTTTTTGTTTGTATCACTTGCATTGTCATCCGTTGATTTTTGAATATGATTAGCCCTTTCGAGAGCCTTGACGTAAGTCTCCTCCGTTAGAGCAAGGTCATTTCCCAAGGCACGTTGCCAGACAGCTCCTCGGGAACGGGGCGTAATTCCACGCCACCACAGCTCCCTAGTGCGATGTTCCGATATAACGCGGTCCCAATCAGGGAAGACATAGTCATCCCAGATGCGCTGCAATGTCTTGCGGGTATCATCCTTCTTACACTGGGCAGAAGCAGCTTCCGCAGCTTTCCGTTTGTCTACGATCAACTAAAATTCAGCCAAATACTCTCAATGTATGGAGAAAACAGGAAGATCACTTACCCGCTTCACGTGAGAGGGCCATCATACGCTTATACTCCAATAAATGCTTCTTTTCCTCCTTTGGGTCTTTGGGAGGAAGCCAGCTTGGTCGTGTTCGCGATAAAACTTTTTCTTTCTCCTTGCTTATGGGGAGGGGGTCAATCATGATATTTGATTTCTGCAAGGGTGGAAGCTGAATCATGCCATTGGATTCACGTTTCCCCTGCTCCAGACTAGATCTAGTAGATGACTTTCCACTTTGAAGACTTTCTTCGCGCTTCTGTATCGCAGCATCAGCATGGAATTCCAGCGCTTCAGTCAATATTTTTGCTTCCTCAGAAAGCTCAGACATGACCAGATTCCACGAGTTGATACGCGGGGAACGAGGCAGAGCTTGCGTCCGAGAAGGGCCCAGGGAGCTTGCTCTTGACAGTTTCGGTCTCTGCGGCCTGGCTGACGTTGGTGGTGATGTTGTTGTTGTTGTTGTTGTTGTTGTTGTTGTTGTTGGAGGTGATGATAATGGTGGAGCTGACGTCGAATGGCACAGCGGAATCGGTCGAGGACCAGGGCTCCTTCGATCGGGGCTAGGGCCTCTGCTTCCAGGTCGCTGCTGGGGAGGGCGTGGAGAGATAGGTACGTTCCATAGCGTTGCATCTTCAGGAAGTTCCTCGTCTGAATCATGATATTCATCTTCCAACTCCTCTACAGTCTTTCGGGGCCGCTGCTGCGACGGAGAACGTGTGAAGGATCGAGATGTAGTAAGTCGGGGCCTTGGTGGCAGTGGTGCACTGTTGGTTGATGATAACAGAGTTGGATGTGTGCCCGGGGAAGGGGATCTCGACCGTTGTCGTGGCGAAGCGCGGAGGTGCAGTGACAGAGCTGAAGGGCTAGTGGTCACTCTACGTGATGCACTCCTGGATCGCGGGAGAGTAAGAGATTGCATTGCCTCCAAAGTACCCTGAACCTGACTCTGGAGCTTAGGGTAGTCCTTCCTGCTAGCAGAGGCTGTCAAATCTCTCGTTGTGGTCGCCATAGCTATAGTGTGAGGGCCTATGGTAGCGGATACGCGGCGGCTTGGCCTTACAGCAAACTTGTCCTGGGCAAAGTGACGTGGGTCAACATACTCCTCCTCCAAACCTATATCCTCGAAATTGGAGACGTCGGCAAGGATGCCATCGGGACCGGAGTGTTGGGAAGAGGAACGGAACGAGGAGGACTTGGAGGATTTGGATCCAGAGAGCTCGGGTGGAGAGTCGGGAGCAGCTAAAATGGTCGTCATTTCAATATCTGATTGAGGGTCACACACACGGGCGATAGAATGATGGAGTTTCGATGTGAACTCGCTCGTTTGATTGAGTTGTGTGCCTTTCGTTGTTCCTCTGATTTCTTTGTTTTTGGTGTTATTCTCTTCCGTGTACTATCCAAATGCCTGTTTTCTGCCCGTGTCTAACAATCCCAGCACGATATTAAGAACCAACCACCACCACCAAGACAGCGGGAACAAAACAAAACACCAAACAAAAAAAAAAGACAATTTCGATAAATTGTCAAAGCGTTGACAGATGAATTGTTCCAGAGATCGAAGTGATGATAGCTACCAATTATCAGAGGAGCGAGATGGGTGCCAGTCCGCGGGACGGGAACGAGCAAGGGGTGTTGGAGGTGTGCAGCCCATCAAAGAGGCATGGCTAATGTAGGTGTTGTAAACAAAAACTATACGCAGGGGCGGTACAACAGAATCAGGACATATTGACCCCAGAGAAACGAGAGAGATGTCCAAGGTCAAATGCTAAAGGGTTGATTCAAGGACCGAGAGAGACAGACGGACTGGCTGGAGACCAAGTGAGTGAGAGAATTACTGCAGTGTTGAAGGGCCAGGGGAGAGCGCGATGAAGGTTCAGATTCGCCTATTTGGGACTAGCGGCGTACGGGCTGGCGTTTCAGCCACACCAGGAACAGGTGGGCTGAGGTAAGCAGCGGTATTGGCTGGTAACTATTGGCTCGGCTCTTCAAGGCCCCAGCCAGGTTTTGGGCAGCAAAGTGGCACTGGTAAATACATCCCAACTAACCAAGGCCTTAATTTCCTACTTCGGCAACTTTCCAGCTCCAGATATTATTATTTTTACCTGCTTTTCAATTTCTGTGACTTACTATGTTTAGTACTCGGCTCAGCACTGTAAGATATAACTTGCTTGTATAATTTCCCCCCACAAAAAAAGTTCGTGCCATTGCTAATTTTGTAGGGAGGACGGAGTATTTTGTGGATGGGTCCATCTATTGGACAACTCGTCCATTCCATACATTTCCCACAAGGCGCCCTAGTTAATAATAGAAGGAAGCCGATGATGCCACCTGGGCAACGTTTGCTTCGTCGGCAAAGCCTGGTGGTGATGGTGGCCCGTGAGCTTCTAAGAGAACAGGCGTTTCGCGGGCCAGGAACGCTAGCAGAGGGGGTCTTCGGGAGGGTTCAAGCCGGATGGGCCACGCCTACAAAACGGCTTCTAGACCCTCGAGCTTGCTTCACATGAATGGAAAAACCTTCCACCTAACACTGTAGCCGACAAGATGCATATCGACAGTCCAAGTATAAGTTATAAAGCAACTAAACATCACGTTAAACTACACTATCTATACGCCCGTTTTCTAGAGCATGTTCATTACGTGCGGCTCATAAATCATGTGGGGCAACGGATGTACTGCGCATTAGCATTCCCGAGTTCCGCTCGCTCTGACCGCCTTCCACAACCTCACCGCTTCCCCATCTGTCATCGGCCGCGACTCCCGACTCACCGCATCAAGCCAACGTAGCGTTGCCTTGAACTTGGTCTGTTTGCGACCAAGCACCGTCCGAAACGCAGTAGCTGCAAGCCAGCGTGTCTGTGATCTTGTCGCGCTGCTCTCAAACCGCGAGCCCGTCCGGGATGCATTCGACTTGAGCGATTGTGTGAGGTGGAGGGGCGCTTCCATGAGCGCTGAGATTGTCCGGATAAGAAGAGATGAGGACACCATTGCGCTATCTCCCCGTTGTAGACTGCGTAGATGAAGACAGCGTGTATACTCATACAGCTTCATGGCTGATTCGAAGAAGCTCTGGTAAAGATTTGCTAGCACTACCAAAGGTGGGTTATGCTTCGTGTCGAGGAACATGGCGTGGACCTGGATTTTAAATGACTTAAGGGTCTTGCGGTAAAACGAGAGGCCGGGGGACTTGGTGGCCTCGACTGTTAACGCATCTGAGGTGGTAAGGCTGGGATGCTTCGGTGTGCGATCCTTGGTGAGAGCAAGTGTGTATGTGTCAATCACATTTCCACAATATGGGAACTGACGTTGAGAGGGCCCAAGGAGTCGCGGGACCTTGCGTCCATCAATTGTGGTCGTAAAATTCACCAGGATTTTCTCTGGGTTTACGGAAATGCCATAGTCCTCATTTCCCTCAAGCATGACTTGCAGGAATTTGACGGCAAGCTCAGGCTTCGTCGTGACGAGGAGATAGTCGTCTATGAGGCGAAGGAGGAGCGCGTCGTCGCCATCAAGGAATGCAAGCTTCTCCCGTTCGTATTCGGAATAAAAAAAGTTACAAAGCAATGTCGAAACGATAGATCCTTGCGGAATACCCGTCCTCTGCCGAAAATACTTCTTGCCGATTTTCACCAGATTGTTCTCAATGTGTTCTTGGAGAAGGCGGATGATATCCCTCTTCTGATGCTTTTTGTAGGTCGGAGTATCGACGAAGACGGTATGTCTTTTGCTCTTACTCTCTATGCCAACAACAGTGTCATGTAGACTCGTGAAATCAGCAAAACCCGCCGCTTTAGATATAAATTTCCTTACCGGTTTGGCCTTCGTCTGACGGAGAACGGGGACACCTGTTAGAGCTTCCCCTGGAGGTCTGATCTCTACATGTTTGGTTACGAGATAATCATCCTCAGCAAGTAGTCTTTTGGTTAATTGAATTAGCCGTTTTTGTGGGATGGTATCAAAGCACGATTGGATATCCAATTTCACAAAGTAAAAAGGTTCGGTCCTTGCCGAGTTGGGTGGTACCTTACTCTCCTTGAAAGCCTTCAGCCGAGAGTAGATATGATCTACAGAGAACATTGTGGCACCAAGCATCCCCAAACGCTGCGTTTTCTCGTAGTTGAGTATATTGAACGCTGGCGTCATGATAGAATTGATGCTAGGCCCCAGCTCGCTCAACCCTCCCCACCCGCACTTCCGAACAGGTCTCCGCCTTAGGTTAACGATAGGTCGTGCGCCAGATGACTTTGGAAGCAATCTCAAAAGACTGTAACTCAAATTGCGTCTGCTTAAAATCTGCTCCGCAGTTTCCTTTTGGACCTCCTCGAAGGTGGAGAGCTTGAGTTGAGCAATTGATGGCTCTACAAGCCGCCGCCATGTGTCATGACGAAAGTAGAACAAACGATTACGGTGGACGCCAGATTCTGTGACGTAGAAGTTTGAGCGAATCAGTGGTATGAGAATCGAGTCGAATACGTAGTAAACAAATTCAAGATATATCTCCGTCCTTTTACGGATATCTGAAGGCGAAAGCTTAACGGACGGGAGTTCCTGGATTCCCGTGCGGGATGGGGGCTGCAGCCATTTGACACAAGTGATCTATTACAGGAGTGGCTCCATGATTAGTTCGACATCCTTCTACGCCTTTCCGCAGGTACGAATATGAAGCCCAACAAAGGTTTCGCCACGTATGAAACCGGGAACTTGGGTTTAAAGAATCAACTGGACTTACCTTCAATCCCTGTGAAACTTCATGTAATGATAAACTCTCGAACCTACGCAATTGCACGAAGCTATCCACGTGGCGCATGATAATGTCTCTATTCTTAATTCCATCGTTTCCATATCCGTACAACTCATTGGGTATGAGTTTCAGCAACACACCCCGGCAAAATGCGGATACCGCGGTGGGTGGGGTAGCATAATCTGTCATTTGCAGTTTACAAGGTGGTTTCTTTTGGGTTAATGTAACATCCGATTGTGTGTTGTGGTTTGATTTGCTCCCTGGTATTTGGGCTTTGTTCAATGGCTGCACATGGTAAGATGGCAGGGTGAGAGTCACTTCTTCTTTATGGGTAACTAGCTGTGTTGAGGTACTCGCGTTGTCATAACTCGAAGAAGGTAACCCTGCAAGGCTCAGAGTCGGTGGACCTATGTTCTGGTAATAATCAAATTATTAAATACCCAAAGCAGTTTCTATCAATTGACAAACGAGCAGCAACTGAGGTTTACCTCGACTGGGCAGTAATAGCGCAAAAGCTCAGCATAAGGGCACCGCTGATGACGCTTTTGCAACTTCTGAATTAGGACAAAAAGGTCACCACGTAGTCGTTTTGGAACCTTCTCATCAATTTCGCTAGATATTTTATGGGGCTTTGGGGGACGATTCTTTTTGTTCCTGCAGCGTGATATCTCTTCCTCACGCAGAGTATAGTCCTTGAATGGCTGAGAAGTTTCCTTAGAATTCACGCTGGAAGTAAAAACATTATGCAGACCGAATTGGCGTGGAAAAATGTATTTCAATATGTGCAATGTGTGGTCCCGGTTATCGCTCTTTGGATATCTATTCAAAACATCTAATATTCTTTAGCCTAACCCGCACAGCCATGAGGCACGAGGGCCATTATGATAGAGGACACCTACGGATATGCCTCAGGCCGAATCGGACTCGTCCTTTTGCATTAAATGCAGCGCGCGCATAAAGCATACGGCTTCTCACAAAAGTAATAGTTGCCGGGGTGTGCGGAGCGTTATGAGCTGGTAGAAGGGACCTTGCTGCTACAACTGCTCTGGCCTCTCCCGATGCGCCCTGATGAAGCTTGGTGTGGGATATCGGTTCCAGAGGGTTGAGTTCCGACAGAGATATTCCTGAATGAATTGATCACAAGTTATTATTAGGGAGCAAACCAAAGAGCAGAATATATTTCTCACCACTCAATTGATAAAAGCTATGCTTTTTCTCATGTACTTCGATAAATACGCTGCAGTCCAGGAGTAAATGAAGCATAATTTCTTCACAGCTCCTCCCTAGGAGGCCTAGGATATCAGTCCAGGGGGAGTTCTTGAGTATCGAAACATTTTTATTTGGATACTGTGGGACGAGGCCACTGATCCCTGACATCGGATCATGTTCGTGGTTTGGGAGACATTGATTAGTTGCCCTCTGGAATCCATGGCAGAGTAAATGCGGTGGTCTATAAAAAGAGCCGCGATATCTATTAAACAGACTAAGGATAGCGAAATCCACGATCTGACGTTATCACGTCGCTCTATCAGCTTCTCTCGATCACGAATTCTCTTGGCAGGACGCTTAAAAACGGCTCCATCCAAGGAGAATGGATGTGACTTTTCCAGAGAAGAAAAGTAGCCACTTACATCTGATTGGGAGGTAGTGGCGCCAATGTCAGTGCATTCCAGCGAGGAACGGGCTTGCGATTGAGTAAAAGCGGTAAATTCTTTCTGCCTGGAAATATTAACAGCGCTGTCTGGCTCTTTCAGAATGCCCACCAGGGTTGAGTCCAGGGTCCGAGCAAGGTTCTGGATTTCTTCATTGGTTCTTTCAACCCGTACGCCCACTTTGGAGGGAGAGAGGGAATAGGAGGGGGGTTGGCTAGAGCCTTCCCGTTTCTCCTGGCCGAGAGACGCGACTTTTTTCCTTCGCGACTTGGACGACAATGGCAGCTGTTCGTAGAGAAAGGTCCTGAGTGTTACCACTCGAGGGTAGTAAAGAGAAAGCACTGGATGGTATATTGATCCATCCTGAGGCTTGTCGCCCCGAGCGTGTTTTGGCAATCCGGGTACAGGGAGGTCGTTGGAGGGCCGTTTTCTTTTTCTTGCCATTATTTTAGTATCACGAAGGCAGACATTGCCAAATTTTGACTGTTCAATGTTCCATTGAGAGCTTTTGCTGCGTGCTCCGCTGCTCCAAGGGCAAGATTTGATGTGGTGGTTATCCAAGCTTATCACTGAAGAACGCGTTCCGCACAACCCTTTCCGGCGTGTCGCGTCCTGCCCTGGAACCCGATTAATTAGTTAACTAACTATTTACCCTAGGTAGGTTAACTAGCCAACCAGGCGCATCCCTTGGAGCAACAACAGACAAGACAGACAAGACAGACAGACAGAACGGTTGGTTTGTTATTATTAGAGTGGAACAAGGTAGTTACTCGGTTAAATGGAGACTAAATTATGTTTCTTCCTACTAAACCGTAAGTTACGTTTTATTATTTGTTTTTTTTATCCGCTTGCCAAGCTTGGGGTCACGCATAACTTACATCGTGTCGGAATGGGTGTCACGGATGAATATGTTGAAGACATATGAATCTTATGTGTATCAAGATCTGCTTGTTATATTATCCATGCCCTATCTAATATATCTATTTCATACAAAAGATAGAGCTATTTATAGTAAAATATATGTGCGAGCCAAGAGAGCTAGCATAAGCGAGTATTAGACGAGCGTTGTAGTAAGCTGATGATGATGAGAAATATTGTAGTAATATGGCGTTCAGTAGTGTATAACCTCTTTTTTCCTGACACATCGACAAGTTAACACCTGATTCATGATATCATGAATCATAGTGGGGCGGCTCTCGATGCTTCAGGTTCCTGTCCCGCATCCCTAGAACATACCAAACCCAGTCCCTGGTTACACCGGTGGAAGCAAAGCTATCGAGGGGTCGATCGACTTAATGTTGCCAGCGGACCTTGGATCACCGCCAGCGCTTCAAAAGAAGCTGACAGTGGCTCGTTTCTTGCAGCAGGTAAACTTCTCGCGCGCGCGCTAAACCCTTCACTGAGGCGAGTTTCGGAAATATTCATCCTACAGTCAGTCCATTGCATGCATACGGAGCAGCATTTGAGGGGTGCTCCCAGCAAAGAAAGCATAAAATCTTTCCCTGGCGTAACGTGGCGGGGTTAACTAAAAATATCTTAATGCACACAAGCCTCTGTGTGCAAAGACATTGCAGAGCTAAGCTCAAAACAGAAGACTTTGCAAGATTGATTTTACAGCTTATTATTAATAATAATAGAAGGAATAGAACTGTAAAAATATATAGAGATTCATTTTTCAGTGTAAAAGCATTATCTAACTAAGTAAGAAAAAAAATAAAAAATACTTTATTTTATTTCACTAACTTATATATTATTCTTAAGAACAGTTTGAGTAATCTGAAGAAGACTTATAATAGTTCTGAATTTAATCTTCAGAGCTGTATTCTTCTTACACAGAGTCTTATTTTCAATATAAAGAGTTAAAATCTTAATATTATAATTATTAACTGACTTAATACTTACTATCTGTTTTTTCAAGACTCTAGTCTCTGTATTCTCAGTTATAGAGTACTTCTTAAATAAGCTCTTCTTCTTAACTTTCTTTTTCTTTTCATTCTTCTAATTCTTTTCTTTTACTTTATTATTCTTCTTACTGATATTAACTATATATAACTATTAGTTAATTGTATTAAAATTAATATATTTTATATTAAAAAGTGACTCACTTTTATAATAAGAGTAGTAACTTTCAGTGTTATTATAATAATAACTAGTATAAGCTTTATAACACTGATTTAAAGTATTAATATAGATGATAAAAGAGTCTTCTTCTTCAATATAGTAATTATAGAGAACTGTAAAAAGAGTATTACAGAATTATAGAAGAAGAGCTTTATAATTTGTATTAATTTTTATATTAATCTGATAACTCTTCTATAAAACTAACTTCTAAGTATAGAATAATTTAATAAAAGTCTGTAACTTCTAGACTAACTGTGTAACTGTGTCTGAGATCAGAATCAAACTTTACAGTTATTATATTATCTAAAAGCATTACTTTTAATTATGATTTGTATTCATTATATTGATTTTAAATTATATTATTTCAAATATTAAAGGTCTCAGATTCATTTTTCAAATAAAAATCTAGTTCTGAATAAAGAATATATTTGAATTCTTAGTCACATTTTCATTCTGATTTCATTATTGAAAATAGTATTAAATAAGATTATAAAATCACTTCTCACTTACATAATATCATAATTAGACTGGCCGCTGAGATTATGAATTTCATATTTGATCTCATTTGATCTGATCTCATACATTTCTTGGCGTGAATCCCGCTGGGACTGGCTATCAAAAAAACATGTAAAGTGATTATATATCAGATCTTAAAATGAAATCATAACTTGAAAAAAATGAGAAAGTGATCTCATTTGATTTCATTTAGTCTCATTCTTAGTATAAAGTTACTATTTTTAAACATTTTAAGGTTTTTTTTAGACTATTTTTAATTTTTTAAAAAGTAACACTTTTTGATAACACTTAAATGAGATTTAAAGTCATTTAAAGCTATAAAAATAATTTAAATTGAGAAGGGAAAATCATGGTTCTATTTGAAAAATGTGACAAGAGTAGACAGTAAGTCTCACTGAGACAGTATGAAACTACTATCTAATGTTAAAACCGTGTAATAAGATCAGTCAAATTGATAATGAGACTATTAAAAAATCTGATTCTGGTCTCAGACACGGTCACACAGTCAGTCTAATCATAATATAGTACTTATTTATTGAAAATTCAATAGAGAGTATTATCAAATATTATTATTTTTCTAAATACAGATTATAATTCATATAATTTTAATTATAAAAAAAATAAAAAATACAAAAAAAAACAAAAAACAAAAAATAAAACAAAAACAAGAAAAAATAAAAATAAAAAAAAAGAAAGAAAAAAAAAGAAAAGAAAAATAAAAAAATAAAAAATAAAAATAAAAGAAATCAAGATTACAGAGCTGCAGCATCTTTAAAATACTTACTTCTCAGAGTCTTTACAATGTTTATATTCATTATTAACTATGTATCTCTCATAGTAAGAGTAACACAGCTGTGATAAGTCATTATCTTAATATTATCTAATAAATAATTAGTATATATCTGTATAAATGTGAATATTTAGAAAACATACACTTAAAAAGTGTGATCAGAGTGAACTCTGCTATCACTTGAATAGTATTAAGAATAGAAAACTGAAATCAATAATTTCTTTCATTAATTTTATAGATAAGATATGTGAAGATAATCTTGAGAAATATAAGATTCTCTAACTTCTGATAAAAACAGATCTCATGAAGAGACTCTATTTTCATAATATCAGAGACTGAGTGTTATTAAAAAGCATTTCTTCTATACAATGTATATATACTTACTGCAATAATTCACTCTCTGTATATATAACTGAGAGTTACAGCTTTCTCATACTGCACAGCTCTCTCTGAAATGCTGATACTAGTTTGTAATTTATATAGTCTCTCAGTTCAGCACACACTGCATGTATACAGCTTTATGTGCTGAGACTGTATTAATTATTATAGTCTGACATGATACTTGCTTTTCACAGGTCATATTTCATTTGAAAAGAGAAAGAGAGAAGACACAACTATAATTTTATTAAGAGAGAATGAATAATTAGTAATATTGAATATAATTTAATTCTTCTATATTTAAAAGTTAATTAGTCTATACTCTTTAATTTGAGGATTTCTAAGAGTGTTTTAATAGTTTTCATATCAGCTTGAACTTAGTGATGAGTTGAAGAAGAAGAGAAAAGAGAGAAGAAAGAAATGAGAATAACTTATCTTTATAATATAAAAATAGAGAATTACTGTAATTATTCTTTCTAGTAATAAAGATCTGTTTTCTGCATGTATCTCTGATATAGATTATATAATAACTGTATATAAAGAATATCAACACTGTATGCATTGAATGAAGATGATATTACTATGCAACACTGTAGCTATTTTCATATATTTCTGAAAGCTATTAATATTTTCTTTATCTCTTTATATTTAATAAGTTAGTAATATATTTCAATGCACTCTCTCTTTTATTATTATTATTATTATTATTATTATTATTATTATTATTATTATTATTATCATTATTATCATCACTATTATTATTATTATTATTATTATTATTATCATTATTATTATCATCACTATTATTATTATTATTATTATTATTATTATCATTATTATTATCATCATTATCATTATTATCATTATTATTATTATTATTATTATATTATTTCTGATCATCTTTTCTACTTTTATCTCTCTTCAATACTTACTGAAATTAATTATATTATCTCTCTTGAAATATTCTGCAGTTCTGTGAATCATCAAGGTGTATGAGCATCATCACAGATTGAAGAAAGAGAAGAAGAAGGTATTTAAGTAAGAAGAGACAGATTGTAAGATATATTATAATATCTTGAAGAGACTCTGTAAGAGAGTAGAATAATAATGATTTTAAGTAACACTTCTGATAGATTTAAACTGAACTAAGTATAGAAATAATATGAATAGCACTGTCTGTAAGAGATTGAAGAAGAAGATAGTAAAGAGTCTTATACAGTAGTAGTAAGATTAAAAGAAGTTTTGAGAATAATTTGAGTCTAAGATGAAGAGAGAAAGAGAGAAGAAGAGTATTACTATAAATAAACAGTGATAAAAGAAGATTGAGAAGATATTAAAGTAGAAGATAAAGAAGTTAAAACTGACAAGTATTTTATTTATTAAGAGATAATAATTTTTGATAATACTTCTATTCTCTAATTAATTAACAGAAGCTGACAGAGAAGAAGGAAATTAAGACCTTATTCAGATCTTGAATACACTTTATAATTCAGAATATTAAGAAGACAGCTCTACTCTCTGAGTATGTTAATCTACTTATCACTGAAGTGAAACCTGAGACAGCAGATTGAAAAATGCAGGATTTTAAGACATAGATTAATCTAGCTGAGAGAAAGCAGTGAGAACTCTTCTCTGAGAAAATAGTGAAGAGAGATTTTAAGATGATTATTATCTCAGATGAGAAGAAGAAGAAGAAGAAGAAGAAGAATAAGAAGTGAATTATAAGAAATAATAAGAAGAATAAGAAAGAGAAGAAAGATAATAAGTAGAAAAAGTTTTTTTCTTTTTATATTAATTAGTTATAAGTTCATAATTATTAATAATTAAAATTGATTTTAAGTTTTTAAAAATTATTGTACAAGTTGTAATCAAGTCAGGAATAATATATATATATATATATATTTAACTATCATGATTCACAAATCACTATAATGTATAAGTATCAACATTTTTTCAATATTGATATTCACAATATTAATATATTTTTAATAATATTATCTGATAATATAATTTGATAACACTCTCTTTTATAATATTAATATATTTCAAGAAATATAACAGAGATTAATCAAGATTATTTATTTACTTTTATATATTGATAATATTCAATCTGAGTTAGTACTAAAATTATAACTAAGCTAAGAAATAAGATTATTTTCTCTTATATTAAGTCTTCTTATACACATCAGTGATCAGTTATTGAAAATAAATTATTATCTTTCTTAAATTATTATTATATCTTCTGAATTCACTTCTTTTACTTCTTTTACTTTTATTGAAGATTCATAAACTCTTCAAGAAATCACT